TAACCATAAATAGCGCTATCTACTGCGAGGATCGTGCATCATACGTATCTAATACCGCAGTTCAAAATATATGAACTTCATATATTCATTGTATCTCATTTATCACTTTCACGGGTTTATTACGAATCAACTTAACGGCCTGCTCCCATAAATAGCGCTATCTACTGCGAGGATCGTGCATCATACGTATCTAATACCGCAGTTCAAAATATATCAACTTCATATATTCATTGTATCTCAACAGTACTTCTTTTAAATCGTTAGCCATAAGGGACATTCAGAACATGAAGACCCCGAACCACCTGAAAAGATTTTGAACTATTTACATTTATTGTTTCTTTTAGACTTTACATATTTATTGTAGATTATTAGCACTATTATTTAGTTATTCTGTATCTCCCAGCGTTAGCCCAGCTATTTGGGAGTTAAAGTTCTAAGTTCCAAGTTGTACCCTTGAGTCAACCCTGTCCCGTATCTTTTTATTTTTAGAACTGAGATATCTGCGGGGGTTCTTTAATCTTTCCGCGCTTTCCGCCATTATTGAAATAATTTCGTGTGGCCTGCAAGTGACACAATAGAGACGTAACACAATAGAGACGACAGCTCTCTTATGATTGAATATTATAAAAACACTATTATTGGCTATTATAAAAATCATTGGCTATCATTGGCTATTATAAAAACACCCGCGAAAACCGCCGTGGAAGGTGCTTCCAAAAATAGAAAGATACGGGACAGGGTTGACTCAGAGGGTCAGTATGGAAGATGGAAGCTCCGGGAAATGAGCCCCTGACCGTGTTGACTCTGGGGGGTAATGGCAGTAACTTTAGTTAGGTAACAAGCAGAAGATAGATGTCACATCTTTACAATGAAATTAAACATTCATAACGGTTTTTTGATTGCTTGTTAGATCATCAAAACTTTTCAAATATTGCCTACGCAATAGCTTTCAAAGAAAGGCATCCCATAAACAAATTTAATTTTGAACAGTTTGAAGGACGTTTGGATTTTGTTTTACTTCCATAGCCCATTTAGCTATCTCTAAATGTTCAGCCTACAGACCACGCATTCTTTTAGGCTTGTTCAAGCACGCTAGGGATAATTGTAACTATATAAATATACCTGTCTAAATGGACTTACAACAATAACATTATTTACAATGAATACATTGACTACTTAAAATCCTGTCATGCAAGTTAAATTTACAAGGTCAGGGGGATATGAATATAAAATAAAAAACCTTAAAAGTACAACTTAACGTTGGGCATATGGGCCCTTTGGAAGGTATGAAGAAGACCTTAAAGGAGTTCTCTTGACAACATGACCAGCTATTTTGAAAACAATCTTCTCTTTATATTGACAAGTTTTTTTAACTGGCATTCTGTTTAAACCTCTGCTTTTGGGCAACATCAATGTTACTTTTCTTGTGACAGGAAAATCATTTAACTTAAGAACAATGCTATACACAAAGAGATACATTATGCAAGAAAAAGAAATAAAAAAAGATAATTATTATAAAATGTTCAAAAACAAAGTAACTGGAATGAACATTTGGATCTGGAACTTGGAAAAACTTGCACAAACAGTAAAGGAGTACCCCTTTATCTTGTTCATTTTGCAATACTCCTTTTGACCAACACATTCATCCCACCGCACACCTCACAAGTGAACACCATTTTCCAGCATGCAACTCTTTCAAAGATGGCCTTTAAGTTCATCTATCAAATCATCCACACTAACTTTGTCATCTGTGGTTGAACAACTTTTAATCGTGTTTTCAATCAGCTGTGCAGAAAAGTCCAGTTGATTAACAAGGTTGTAGTTATTCAGTAAGCGACGAGCCATGTCTGCCTCTATGAGACCTGAATGAGAATAACAGTAAAAAAAAAATAATAATAAATAAGAGAAAAAATGAGAAAGAGAGAGATGGGTATATTTGAATCCATGCAGATGAGAAAAAAGCAGAAATTGTCAATTGAAGAATGTTGTTTAAATGATAATCTGAATTACACACTCATTTGATTGCTTCTTACTTATGATATGTTAGAGGGCAGACACGTGGATTTAGTCACCATTAACAAAATTTCGTTTTTTTTTATAACATAAAAAAAGTAAATTCCATGTTGCTGTTGGTCTGAACTGTAAGAGATCACAGAAGGCCGCGAGACCATCAGTGGTTACACCTCTTTTGCCGCTTTTTGTTCTTACCACATTTTGACTATTAGTGAACAGACAGATGGCAACATGGACTCTATCCAAGTGTTAATAAGTATTGTATGATGCAAGCAAAGTTTCAAGAGTAACCAACCTGTTTTGCTTTGTAAGTAGTGTTCTACGCGTTGCAATTAAAGAAAAAAAAAAAAGAGAGAGAGAGTAACCAGTAAACAAGTGGTCAAAAATTGGTAAGGAGAATCATTATTTTCAATTTTACCTGACTGATCCTGGTCACAGACATAAAGAGCATTTGCCAGTTTCATGAATCTTTCAACCCTACTTTCCTTCTCCACATAATGCGGAGGGTCGTAATCACCATCTCCATCATACAGCTTCTCCTTCTGTTGTTGAATAAATTGATTAAGCTCTTCCTGTTCTCTCTGAATTTGCCGTTTTTGTTCAATTAATTCGTGCTGTTTCCTTAACAAGTCCTCTCGTCTGTCTTCAAGTTGTTTTCTTTCATCTTCTGCATAAAGTGACATGTCAAAATTATCCCCACCACTCCCATCTGATATCTGCTGCATTGGAGCTTTGCTGTGATGTTGATATGGATCCTGCCATTGTTGATTACCAATGACACTTCCCTCTTCTTCCATTTTTTGCAAATGAAAAAAAAAAGACACTTGGATAAACAAAACATATCTGTAGTACATGTGTATATATAATATGTACAAAGACAGTATTCAGAAGAAGCTCAGCTGTTACTGGAAAGAGAGAGGGAGGTAAAATTAGGGGTGGTGTGTAAAAAATTGCCAATGAACTGCACCTATAACATAAGACTTAAAAAAATTCCTCAATGACAGAAACGAAATTAAACTTGCCCGTCCGTAGTTAGCAAATCTATCTTCTACAATGCATGAGGAACCCAAGCTTGATAAGCTACTAGCTTCTTCTGGTCTTCCTCACCACACTACTTATAAATGACCCTTGGTTATAATGTTATCTAGTTTAAGTATAGATTGTTGTGTAATTATATTATAGTTATCATTTTAGATTGCTGTAAAGAACTATAATTTATTTGTGTTTGTGTGTGTGTGTGTGTGTGTGTATAAGGGGCAAATAAAGGTGAGATGGCAGTTAGAATTTGCAACAGAGAGTGTTCAGGGAATGGAGAGGGTGAGAAAGGGACTGAAAATGGATACTTTGTGAGAGCTGAAAGAAAAAAAAGAGACAACCAGATGTGAACATTCCTAAATCAATCATCTGCAGTGTGTTTGGTTGAAAGGGCAGGAGAAGAGAGTCACAGGTATGGGAGGACATACACTGTTCAACTGGAAAGTAGAACATGGAATGCAAAAGACTCTTCCTTCTTCACTCCCCTTGTCTTCTACTATGCAAGACTATTATTAAAAGGAGAACATTGGCAGGGAATGGTTGTGGTAAAATGCCGATTTGCTTCACAAGTAAAATTATTTTTTATTGACTATTAATAAGATTGAGACCAAATGTCATAAGTTCCTATAGCAAGGGGCTGGGAGAAGTTACGATGGGTTTAAAATGTATTTTTGCTTTAAATGATCAATTCATTAACTGGTTCCAAGGAGCAATGCATTACCTAAACTTCTGTGTTGCTCCCCAAGCATATCACCTTGCAGCCCATGCTGTCTCCCTCTATGGACTCCTTTAAGGGGCTGTCTTGTTTCCCACACTGGCCTAGTAGGGGGGGTCTCTAGACCACAGCGACTATTTCTACTTTGGCTTGGACTTGAGGCAATGCTTGGTGAGGGAAGAGGCAGTGCCCGCTCAATGAAGGAGATGAATTCAAACCAACTGAGGAAAAATAGACAGATATTATTAAACTGACAATTATCAATTAAGATGGGACAATGCAATAACATTATTGACAAACATCTATGATCATGCTATTCTTCAGTAAAATTTAAAATGAGATATGTCTATTACCTACCTGACTCTTCCAGAGTTATATCTGTCAAGTCTGTCAATTATTTTATCCAACAAAGAGTTGTGAAAAGGAATGCGATGATGCAAACAAATAGTCTTCAACTAAAAAAAAAAATGGGAAACATTGTTAGTCCCTTGATAATTTGGCTGAGCATTTTACATTATTTCTATCCTTTGATATTTGACATACATGTAGCCATTGTGAGAATAGAATTTGACCATTAGTCAAGTCCCACTCTTCTTCCCATAAGTAAAAAAGGTAAAGTCTATTTACGAGCCTAGTGGCCCATTAGGCCGGTGCTTAACTCTGGTTTCTGTAGCATGAAGCGACTAGGAGTATTTCTACTCCCCCCTGGATGGGATGCCAGTCCATCGCAGGGTTACCCCCAGCATTAAATTGCCGGTACCCAATTATACACCTGGGTGAAGAGAGCCACTGTGAGAGTAAAGTGTCTTGCCTAAGAACACAATACATTATGTCCTGGCCGGTGGCCTCATGGCTAGTGTGCTCGACTCCGGATCGAGTGGTCTGGGTTCTTTCTATAGACTACGCATAAAATACAGCATAACTTGACATTCAGACAGAAGACACCATATGCATAATACACTGAATCACACATCACATCCTCCTTCTAAGCTATTGTGAGACAATTATCCAATTCCACAACTAAGTCAAAATAAACAGAATAAGAAAGATGGTAAGTTTTAAGCCCAGTAAAGAAACAGAGAAAGACATTTTTTGTCTTGTCACGAGCGTGGGACAAAGAAAAAATTGAGTTCCCATGGACAAAACGAACCTCAGACCTTCTGATTCCCCACTCAAGATGCTTTACCTCTTCCTTACAGGGACTCAGAAATTTCTCTTTTTCCCACACTTGTGACAAGAAGAAAAAATCTTCCTTTAAGTTAATATAGTGAGTTAGTTATTCTTTCAGTACATAGCCTTCTCACACCTGCTAATTTTAATTGCCACCTTCCATTTTACACCATTTTTTTTTTTTTACACCATATTTTATTTTTTTTGCTATTGAGTATATCTTCTCAAATCCTATAAAACAAAATACAGCCATTCATAGCAAATATGATGTTAAGGTTGTTTATATCAAACCTTCTGAGTGGATATGACCTCTACTCTTGTCACATCCTGTTCTTCTAAAGCTCTTCTTAAAGTATGAATTTGTTCTTGGGCATTCTCAACCTCCTTAAGCATTTCTTCCATTTGTAGCAAGATTGCAGTATCTTGCTTATCTTGAAAAGCTTTTCTTACAGCTATTGCACTCTGACGACCTTTTTGTGATTCATCAGCTCTTGGCGATACTTGGTTTGGTTTTAATGGCAAGTTGGTTTCTCTGGGAGATTTAGCTGATATTTTCTCTTGCAGTCTGTCACCTGGGTTTGATGTTAAATCCAGCTTAGGGACATGAAACTCTCTTGTTGCAGCTGGCTGAACAGCATTATTTAAAAAATTCAAAAGCTGTTCATAATTAATCCAGTTTGGTCTATGAGCTGACATGAATAACGCTAATAATTCATTCAAAAGCTCTCCTCTCACTGGTATTTGTAGTCTGAAGAATTCCCTCTCAATCTGCTCAGCAGAAACAAAACCCGACAAAGTCGAGTCAAAGCCTGCGAAGCTAAGATAGGCATCTTTCAGTCTCAAAGTGTCAAATCCTAACAAGACTGAATTCAATTTTGAAGTCAAAGATTTAGTCTTGCTTTCATGATCTACACTAGAGTATGAAGACTTTTTTATCGGCGGTAAAACAGCCTGCGAACTTGGCGAAGAAAATCGGTGCAGACCTCGTGCGGAGTTGTGACTCCCATCATCAGAACTTTCCAGTGATTTCAATAGTTTCCTCGGAGGTGTGTCGCCTCTGTTTACCCAAGGGGGAACAGATGCCCTTGACGATTTGGCGGAACTTGCACTTGACAAAGCTGTAGGACTCACTTTCTGTTGTGTTCCTGGCAGATGAGTGCTCCTTTCCTGCTTCAAGGGGTTTCCGTATTTATCAACTTCGACTTCCACTCGTTTTCCACCAACAATTTTCACATCAAATAAAGGCTGGTCATCTCGTCCAAATGGTGCAAGGCCGGCCATATTGGACGTCTTCAACCATACTTGATTTTTCCTGAAAATAAGTTCTTGGAAGTGAATAAAACCATGACTGCTTCATTCATTATTAACAACAAAGATATGAAAACGTATATAGAAAGACCACAGTTGTCTGTGATGTCTGAGAAATTAAAATTAAACAGCTAAGTTGCGTTGCTATGATACTTCAAGCGTTTTCATTTAGCATACACCAGGGGATAGTTGAAAAGTCAGTTCCATACTCCAACCGTTGCAGTTCGAGTGAGTCTGGGGAAGAGTATGACGAAATTTTCAGACTGAAAGTAAAAGCGATCGCCGGGTAAATTCGATAGATATGATTTTCATTGCAGAACGAGGAAAGATTTAGGTGAGTAATTTCGACAAAGGCGAATGCATGTTTGGTTAATTTATACAGTCTGCGAGAATGGTTTCGGAAAGCATTTCAACCTTCATACTAGTATACTGTCACTGAATCATGTTCGGTAGGACATAGAAACCTTCATTAGTATTTTCACGGTTAAATCGAAAGAAAAGCTAAGAAGTCTTACAGGAAATGCGTCAGGGTAACTTGCGATCATTCCTTACCTGTCTCTCCAAACTTTATAATAATATAAGAAAAAAGAAGACCTGCTCACAGTTTGATACTTCAGTATTGTTTTGACCCCGGCCACTATACGCAATCTTAATCGAAAGGAACTCAGAAAGCATCCTTTCCTTTTTAGTTAATTACAGACAAAAGAACATCGGCTGCTGCTATGGCTGAATGTGTCTCGAACATTCCTCGAGGGGAAGACGATATTGAGGACATCTTGGGATCTTTGCGTTCAAGGATTCAGTCGAGGGACCCATCACATCGACCGGATTTCGATTACAAACTAAAGGAAATAAGTGACTGGGTGAGGAAACAA